TTTTTTTTTTGAATAGTCAGGTCTGCTCGAGGTCAGGAGACCGTAGACTGACTGACTACATTTGTTTATTTACTTCTACACTATTGTCAAAACTGTCACTGTTACCAAGCCTACTGGGTATAAAAAAAATTTGAACATTTGGGGAAAAAACCGCGTTTTTCAAGTATTCGGCAAATTTTTTCAGTATTTTTAAGACCCTATACTAAACTCKTTGCGGAGACARATMCAAYAAATCAAAAACCATGAAAATTGGTTCAGCCCAAATCAAGTTATAAGCAGTCTTCACTTTTACACAACTTTCTTTTATATATATAGATTTCCGATTTTTTTTACTTTTATTATGGAATTTTTTTAAATTGCAGAAGTAGTTGAAATATATACATACATATATTATCTAGTCGAGCGGGGATATAGATATGTATTTGTATATAAAATATAAACTATTTTCAATTCACATTAAAACTTGTAAAAAAAATCTTGTAAATATTAAATTTAATGCGCTTTACAGTTGAGGAAAAGCAAGAGTGTCCCAGTAAAAGCATGACTAGAATATACCCAGCATTCTAGCTAAAATTAAGACATATATGTAAATAACAAATATGTATATACTAAATATTAGTATATTTTCCTGCCTCAACTAAGCGTCACAATTACCTTTGGAATTTACAACTGTAAATAAAAAACTGAGCATACCCCATTTCCTAAGGTATACGCTCAGCATTTCTATGAAAAGTTACAAAATAACTGTACTTATTTAGTTTGACATAAAAGAGTTTTCCAATTGCTCTACTACTTAACTGCTTTTCAATGCAATTGCACAAGTTTTTAGTTAAGACTTTTCGCAGAAATAGTATACATATATATATATATAAAAGTACAAGCATTTATGTGGCAACTAGCAGTTTCTATGAGGGTCAATGGGTGCTCCATTGAAATGCAGTATTTATGGGAGACAAGCCGATTATTATAGCTTATTAATTGCCTACACTTGAGGCACCCTGTATGTAAATAAAACTGGAAGAGGAAGAGATACGACTTACGAACGAGTGGCAAGTGAAATACGACAGCTGGGCATGGCCTTACATGGCGGGCGGGCAATAGAAATAATTTTTGGTGGAAAACCAGCGCCGACCTACCATAAAGAGAAACTACGGAATGAACGCGTACGTGACAATAAAACGAAATGTGTAAGAGCTGTCAGTGGCGAGCTGGCTGGGTGGCACAGAGTGGTGCCGAGTGGAGCAGAGTGGAGCACGTGAGGACGTGAGCAAGATAGAGAGAGAGACAGAGATGGAGAGAGAGAGACAGACCAATGCGACATACGAAGCGACACATTGCTGTGTCGCTTGTTTGTGGCTGCTTCAGCTTCAGCTTCAGCTTCAGCTTCAGCTACAGCTGCAATTGCAACATGCAACCACCACAGCACAGCACAGCACTGCACCACCGCACCACCCACTGAAGACCGCACAGTTTCATAAGCGAGAGCAAAGAAAAACAGCGAATTGCGAATGCAATTTGACAAATTTATTTGCAGCGGCAGCAGCAAACGCGACTTGAGTGCAGATACAGATGCCACACACACACACACACACACACACACACACACACACAGACATACAGACTCAGTTACGGATACACACGTGCAAGTTCTTTAATATTGTAGCATG